CGCCCCTGCTCTCCCAGTCATGTTACCTAGAATTCCCTCTTCTAGGGACAATAGTTAACTTTAACCCACGGTTCGCGTTCGAGAAAACGGGCCCTGGAAGGTTGGATATCTCAAACTTATCAAAGACGTCCCGAACAGAATTAACCTACTTAAAACACGAAGGGAACCCGTAAAAAGATTTATTCGCACAGGTGTTTGTAAACGGTCAGGAAGACAGACAAAAAAGTTTGTTTTCACATCTCCTATAAGTTTATTGAGCAGAGCATGTTCCGTAGAGAAGTACAACCATACAAGCGCTCTGCGAAGTATAGAAAGGTACTTCTCAGCTTTTATACAGCTAAGAAGATTGAAAAGCAAACAAGAACAGGGGTAAGTGTTAGGTACATTGCCTGTTCTCCCGGCAGCTATAAAAATAATTTCCCCGAAATTCTACCTCCAGACGCCTGTCATTGGCAGTGGCAGTCAGTTCATCGAAGGATGTTTCATCGAAAGATTGTTTTACAAACAGCTATGATTAGTCTTTTTGTTTTTTTGGTAAGAAGTCACCCAGATTGTCGCTGCAAAGTTTTTGTAGGGTGGGCAACGTGGGTTAACTTTTCTGTAAGGAGCCGTCGCATAATGTCGCCGCGAAGCTGCGTGGGCGGGACTGCCGGCCAGTGATCGACACACCCGCGAAGGAATGTCGCTGCAGCGTACAATTCACGTAACGGCTGTCGGTGATATGTTAGTGTCGACTAAACGTGACCATGAAACCTGTATTCACGGAAAGTTGCCGATAAAAACATGTTTCCACGAAATGCCGGGAAAACAAGAAAGTCAGTATTCTCCGGTAGTTGTCGCATGATTTCAACCAGCTGTTGGGAGGCGACTGCGGGTAAAATTTCGGAGAAAGTATTGTTCCGTCTGACGGGAGAATAGACAGTGCTGATTCTATAAATAATCTTGAAAAGTACCCGTAAAACAGCGATCCCTTTTTTTTAACAAGTCGGGTTCAGTGCACTTGCAATAAACTTAGCGGACTTGAAAGGTGTATTCCGAGATATATGTCGATACGGGCACTGCAGAACAACCGCACATAAACGAGAAGACGATGTCTGTCACATCGCGTTGAGTCTTAACGGACCCCTTTCTTTTTGTCACTTGCCTAAAGAACACTAAACGCATCACAAGACTTTCTAAGGCCTTTTTGAAAAAAATCGCTTGTTGCCGATATACGCGTAGGACATTTCAAATACTGGTAGTCTTGGATACGTTGTCGCGGACGAAATCTATGACAGCCCCGCAGGTCGCAGCATAGCACACAAGAAACTAGGCCAGGAAGCAGACATTCCGAGATTGGAAAAAGCTACTGTGTCATCCGGGGAAACCTTTACAACGTGATCACGCTCCTGATGTCACCCGTCCCCAGAGAGCGGAGTCAAGTGATAAAAAAGCCTCCGGTCGATTGGTCTGGCGAGTTCGCACATTCTTCCACGCTTTCAGCTTAGGAAGAGAGGGGAAATAAGAGAAGGAGTAGGAAAGTAACAGCTCCTTCAAGATCAAAAGGGGGTTGCGTTTACAAAGGCTTATCTTCAGGGGTATCCCAACAATGAACACAATGAGAGGATTTGTGACTTATATGTTCTTGAAAGATTGACCCAAAGTTGATAGTGCAGTGGATGTTATCCGTGGCCTTTGCCTTCGGGTGGTGCCGTGCTCTTTCTTATCTCTTTCCCTTGGACTGTAGTCACATGATCCTACCCGGAGACACGATTAGCCTAAAACAAGCATAGCGTCTACTCTGCTGTCAATACCGAGTGAACAGGACAGCTCCGTACTTCCAAAAGCACTCCCGAGCCAAAAAAATGGCTTCCAAAAGGGGAAGCTTGAAGATCCTATGTTTTACGCCGTATAACCCATATTATAAAATAAAATGAAGAATTAACCGCGACTACGTTGACTGAACGCACTCGCTCTGCTCAAATTTTAGCGTGCGACTGTTGAGCAGCGTTAGCTTGCTGTTGATGCAGAACGCTGCTTTATCGTTGAGAATCATTTGCCGTGCGAACGTGAAAACGCTCTCGTGCCAGGCGTATGCTCTACACAGCAGCGCCTGTCAGCAACGGCCCACGCAGCATCGGAAGTTTTTAGCGCCTGTTAAGGTGTATCCACACGACGGACCAAATTGCTTTTTTTGGTCCGCGGGCCGCGCATCATGTGATCTTACGTCACCGGTTTTTGAGGTGTGCCGGCGGTCCGCGGCCCGCGCTTGTGAGAAAGGCCAAGTGACTTTTCTCGCCCGGACCTTGGCGGCGGACCGCGGTGTTTTTAGTATAATTGAAGCGCTAAGTCTGGCAACAAGCTGAATTTTGTTGTTTGGATTGGAATCCAAATCCAAAGTCGTTTTCTTTTGGCGCCAACTGTGGAAGACGAAGAAGACGAACCTTTTGTTGTGCGACGATGCAACTTTTTACTTCTTCGCGCTCATGGAGCCTTTCCCCCGCTCTGTGGGACAATAGTCGCGACGACTACTCAAATAATCAACGAAAGATGTCCCCATGACCTTTTCGGTTCACTTAAGTCCTCCTCGTCCTCAATAGTCAACGCCACGGCCACCGCGGCCAAACGTCTCTTTCGTTCAACCTCCATCTTGGCTCCTTAGAAATAGCCTCAAAGCAGCTCGCTGCATGCGTTTGGCGGAGCTGTGAGGTCGAGGGTTAGACCGGCCTGTTCACCCTGTCGTCTGCTCTTTTGGTCCGCCGTGTGGATGCTCATTGCAGCCGGGCGGCCCGCGGGCCTCGCATCACGTGATCAATCGGTCCGCGGCCCGGTCCGTCGTGTGGATACACCTTTACCAGTCCACGAGAGCAGGCAGTTCATCATAGCGACTTGAATGCGAGCATTTTGCTTACGTACACCGATCATCACTGGCGTCAATCACCACGATAGCGTTAATAGCGTCACGGCGAAGCCCGCCACCCTACAACAACCACGTTGCTAACGACAAAACGAGCGTTCTGCCCATCTAGGTCGCCATGTTAATTTTCTTTTTCTTTTACGTGTGGTTCAATTTTGATCGTTTCCATTGTGGTTCTAACCGAAGCTATTAGCTTTCGTTGGCTGAGAAAATGAATATACTAGCACCTATTTAAAGGATTACTGAGACTAGCTTAAGTTTAATCCATGTATGTGAGGCGTCATGCTTAGTTTCCTGCAAAACACAAAGCCCAAACGATCCAATCTTATCCGATCCAAGCATAAGCTGATCGGGGCGCGTGGCTAGCGTGGCGGTTTACTAAGCTGGGTGCATTGATGCACCTTTAAACCCATAGGATTTTAAGGACGAGGAGGGGGCGCAGGGTCGGTGTACAAGGACACTGGCTGGGTAACAGTGGGTGCGTCTTCCAGGAAGGGGAACATGTGCACCCGATGCACCCGACGAACACTTTTTTTTTCTTAGAGTGCAGTTGGGAAGTAAATATGCGAAGAACTAACCAGAAAATCGCGGATATGGTATTCGCGCTAAGAGTGCCGCGCAGCGACAGAGCGATATTGTTAGCGCGAAGATGACATCGGCGCTGATTTCGTATCTTATTTTCAAAGAACAACGACGTGCACAATATTTTCCCACTTCTGGTAATGTTCCAAATGAACATATCACATGACAGTGCTAGTTAGGACAACAGCCTTTCGAGTCTAACGAAAAAAATCTGAATCAAACGGTGATCATATGCTTGCGCTAACTGTGTTCGCGTGGTGCGCCGCACTACAATCCTGCCAACTACTCGCTCTCGATGCTCCTCTCGCTGCCCGTCGTCATGCCAAAGTTTCGCCAACGCGATGAAAGTTCAGATTATGGGTGTCCCTGCGGCGAAACTGAGAATCACCATTTCTGGCCAGACACTTGCCGGTCGCGTTTATGTCTTCGGCGGCCAAGCTGAAAATAAGCACTTCTGGCCGAACCCTTGCCGGCCGTGTTTATGTCCAGGGCGGCCAAGATGAAAATCAGCATTTTTGGCCAAACCCTTCCGGCCGTGTTTATGTCGTCGGCGGCCAATCTGAAAATCAACACTACTGGCCAGGCGCCTTCCGGAAGTCCTTTTGTCTCCCGCGGCCAAGCTATAAGCAGCTAGTTTTTGGCCGGACTCGTGCCGGCCTTGTTTATGTCTCCGATGGCCAAGAACTTAAAGGGGCACTGATACCTCAAAGGTCGTATTATTTTTTATTGTCTAAAACAATGCAAGTTGTAGTCATATACACGCAAAAAAAAAAATACGCATCGCGAAAAAAAAGTTTTTGAGCGCACGCGCGCCTTTTTATTTTTGGCTTTTATAATTCCCGCGCTAACCTCCTTGCTTCTTTTGATGGGTGACGTCAAAAATCAGGAAATTTAGAAGCTTCGTAGACGACAATTCTATAACATTTAATAACAGCAATCGTAAAACATGTTTTTTAACGCAATTGCGAACGCACTACGGCCCCTCTTTTTGAAATACCAAAAATCAGATTTCGGTGTGATGTCGCTTCCTGGATTTGTATCCTCCCTCGGAAAACTTGGCGGCGCTAACGGCGAGACGGGGGCAGTACGGCTCTGGACGGGGAAGAAACCGGTTTTTTCCCGCGCCGGCTTCTATCCCGCCTGCTCACCTCCTCCTCGCCTCGGGTCGCTGTGGCAACGGCGGAGGTCCCAAAGAAAGTCGAGTCGCAGGAGACCGCAAAATTTGACTCACTGCACTGGCGCAGATAACGCGGGAACTTCAAATTCGGCATTTGCAAATTGTTTTTTTAATTAAGAAATACTGAATTCCCAAGTTTTGAAATTTAAGGGCAATGTCCCGCCATCGCTTTCAATCGTTTCGGATGCTAAAAAAAGTATGATTTTGATGTGTCAGTGCCCCTTTAAAGTGGCCAAGCTGTCCAGACACTGGCCGGCCGTCGGCCGATCGAAAGTGACTTTTTGGTGCTGCTTGGGAAGGTAGTAGAAATGAGGATCCTTGCCAGGACTATGAAGGAAGACTTACGGATGAATTCGTCCACACCCCTGTGAATTATGTCTTGGGTCATCACCTCGCATGTGCGTGGCTTGAGGTTGGCACTTTCAAGGATGTCAAGCATGTATGGAGCAAGGGCCGACCTGTCTTCGATGTCATGGCTTGGGGGAATATAGCGCTCAATAACCTGAAAGAAGATATGATTGCATTATCCTTCTGCGTGATTAACATTTCTGCAGAAAAAGAAGTTTATGATTGTGACGCTGTCGATTTTATTAATTATTATAGACGTATTATTTGTAATTCTTTTGGGGGACATGGAGTGAGCTATCGGATATTTATGTTATTGATATACAAACACCTTGCATAAGGTACAGCGTTTAAAAGTGTAACGGCTGTCTTACACCTTAATTTGTTTTCCAGTCATGTGAACAATATTAAATATTACATTTTCGTGAATTGAATTTGCAATAGCTGGCATTGAATGTATTCGGTAATGTTCTCTTGTAATGCCAAGTAGTATTTTGTGAGGGCTGCTTTTTTTCTAAGGGATTCCAATAAAAACGGCACCGGGTATTTTGAAAACCCAAGGAACTGATTTTAAATGGACCGTGCTAGCGTAATAAATTTAAAGCTTTTTTTTTACTATACATAAACTTTGTGGCTGCACCTTAACGAAAATATACCCGAATTCGGTGCTACTGACTCTAACTTTTTGGGGTGTGAGTTTTAGTGTAAAAGTAAACTATGTATTTCAGCATCTCCCTCGCAATATTGGATCACGTAGTGTTGACGCAGTCCCGGAGATCACCCCTGACGATAATGAAATAAAGTCCATGGATTTGACACGAGCACTGCGTGATCACTCGGCATGATACTCGTGAAAATAAAAGCTTCGGCGAACGTTCAGATAGTCTCTCGCATGCCGCTTCTGCTCTAACGGACATAACCAAACTCTACGAAAACCTGGAGCTCAGCCCAGGTCCTGTGCTATGCGAACCCCCACGCGTTGCTACGCTCAGCATTTACGACATATTATAATTGGCACCCGATCCCGTGACCACCAGTTCCAGCTGTTCCGGCTGAGAGCTGAAGGGGTGTACACTGGCCGATTTAATTTTCGATATTAGGATATCACTGCCAGTTTTATTATTCCGTCCGCTGACGCCATACATTGGGGGAACTGTAGTCTTTCTGCGCAAGCCACAACCCTGCTGAGGGTCTGCCCGAGCAGAGCACGAAACTGCATGAGTTGTCTCGTGGTCTAGCACGTACCGCCAATGAACTGCAGTTTTGAAGGAGGAGGTCAAACGGTCACGCACCTAGCGGTGTGTTACAGCTGTGCGGACCACATGCCAAAGTTTCTTGTTTGTTTTAGATCATAGAAATCAAAGATCACAATTCGAAGGTCGCTCCTCGTGTGAGCAAAGCACTGGGCAGAGCTAAGTGCTCGTGTCCAGGGCGCGCAAGGCTAACGTCACTTGGTTCTGGGAACGTAGCGTCAAGCTCCCCATCTCTGTCCATGAAATGAGCGGTTTCTTCTTGAACCCTTCGTTCCTGGTGAGCCGATCGAAATTCGCTGATTATGGATAGCTTTATGGAGACGTTTTTTGTACACCGCGATTTTGTTATTCAGACACCGGCAAAACAAGCTTCCATCTTCGTACACCCCCCCCCCCCCCCCCCCCCCCCCATGCTTGTCGGTGCTTGAATGCACTAAAAAATAACTTCACTATTTTGAAATACTCAAGAACAATAAAATTATAAGAGATCCTTGGAAATGGGCATGATTGATAAGTTGATTGCGTACACATTGCCATGGACGCCTTTATTGTCGAGGAATGCTTCCTGTACGATGATGCTTTATGGTGATCTTTGCGTGACTGTTTTAGAACGACCCTCTGGAAGCTTGGGAGATTTAAACACTTAGTGAGATCGGTCGATTTAATTAAAAATAATGTTCTTATGAACCGATATTTTTGAGTTCTTTAACGTTTGGCAGCAGCAGCCGGCTGTAAATGACACCTGCAAAGAAAAACTGGCACCGAAAAGCGTTACGCTTATAGGAAATGTATAGGGAGACGTCAGTTTTCGGAAAGATCTGAACTAACCACTTGGAGAATGTAAGCCAGTTGCTTTGCCGACTGAGCCATCCAGTGGCTCTAATCTCATTACACTTGGCGAAAAATTTGCTGAGAAATTTGACCGCCATGACTGGCCGGCGTCAACTTCAGGCGCGACTCCGGTCAATCACGGTAGCGGAATTCCTCGCAGACGTTTTCGCCAAGTGTCCAGTTTAGAGCCTCAGGACCGCTGGCATCACCCATTTTGTGCTTACCAGTTCTCGTCAGCATGATCAACCTTGTATAAATTTTTTAGCTAAAGCCCACTAAAATTTTACCAGGTGTCCGTTGTACGTTGAGACCTAGCAGAGTAGAAGCTACAAGAGTTGGCCCAGTTAGGCAGTTGCCAAACTCCTGCGCCGCGATTCAGGTGCGCGAGTTATGACTGCACTGGTTACAGGTCAACATTGACGCAGCGCTCGTGTACAGCCTATCTCCCATGCTCTTTTTCAGTAGTAAACGTTTGCAATTCAGCACTACGGTATCGTTATCTTCGGGGTGTCCAGGGAGTGCCTGCGGTCTGCAGAAACGGTCTCTCCTGGTCCTATGCTTCACTCTCCGCTCAACTGACACAGTGGTGAGAGCCATATAAGCTTCGCTCTCGCCGGACAAGTTAATCGCCTGACTTTTCTCATCTGGCCGAAATCTCGGCACAATATTTACGCAGAAAGTCTATCACAATTTGCAAGACCGATTTGCTGCTTAAATTGTCATTTGGCCCTAGCGATATTCAATGGTAGTTGCGTCTGAAACTACAGCGTGATTCTCCGTGCACTCCATATTTCGTTGTTTGTCTCGTAGTTTTTATTACGTATTGATTTTACATTTATTACCTACAATCTTTTCCATTTCTAGATAACTGCAAAACTAAATAGGACGTCTTCACACATGTATTCAACTACTAGTCAACTAACTGAAATATTGCGGAATTAAAACAGCGCGGAAAGACGAAGACCAGACAAAGTGACACGGACGTAGCGCTGTTACAACTGAGTTTATTGAACGACAAATCGCAATATATATTTGCGGTGTCAGGAACAATAGAGAAGAAAGAATTCAGCCCATGTGATGCATCACCAATAAAATAAACCAAAGATAAAAATATATATATATGTAAATAAAAATGCGCCATGACACAGCCGTACAGAGTACGTGCTGAAAAACGAGCAAGTCAGGGAACCAGAAAATTCATCTCTTTGCCTGATAGGGCCACAGAAGGACTGCTTACACATGCTGCACCCAACCTCGCTATCTCAAGAGCCTCTAGAATTTCCCGAGTGAGCTGGTCCCTACGACGCTTAACAACCTCACACCGTTGGAAGTCGGGTAGGCAACCACAGTCGTGGCAATGAATGCCCAGATGACCAGACACGGTTGTGGAGACACTGTAAGCGTGCTCTCTTAACCTGTCGTTGAGACAGCTGCCCGTCTGGCCAACGTAGCGCCTGCCACACGTCAGAGGGAGGGAATAAACAACCCTCTCAGAGTACGAGACGAAGCGATCTCGATGCCTCGTACTGCAAGCTGTGGCCACCTCGAAGAAGGGTTAACTGCTCTGCACAACCTGGACAACTTGTCCGGGGCAGAGAATAAAACGTCGACGTCACACCTGCCAGGAATGCGTTTTAGGTTGTGGGACAAGCCGTGTATGTAGGGAATGACCACAACTTTCTTCTTTCCCTTCCCTTTCTGTTGTGGGCCTCTTCTTCACTTGTCATAGGGCTGCTCTTGATATCTTTCAGCAAAGACTCGGCGACCGTTGTTAACACGTGGGAGGGAAATCCAGCATCAGCGAGGCGTTCAGTTTGCCTGTCAAAGATATGTTTGATAACAAGACCTACGCAGCGCATGTGTATAGCAAGTCCTCGCAATCGCCCGCTTGACAGTTTTTGAGTGAGCGGACTCAAATGGGCAACAGTGGCTTCCCCCCCCCCCCCCCTCCCCCCAGCACGGGGTTCAGAGCTCCAACAAACATGACCTAAACAAATAGTTAAATTCAAATCCAAAAAACGGATTCATTGCGCCTCAGGCCCTTCATGAGTCAGAACAAGTGGCGAAAGGCAATCACTAAAAATGCTAAAACTTGAGTCATTAACGAAAGAAAGGATAAGGCATCGGCACGAAACAAAATCAGAAAATCATCTAGATACCGGAAGACCTTTGCAACTTTGGTTCCCCCAAGCCGTTCAAAGATGATGCGGTCAAGGTTCGCTAAAAACAAGTCGCTAAGCACGGGGGCAATGCAAGAACCAATACACACCCCTTGCCGTTGCAAATAGATGTTACCCTCCTAAGTCGCAAAGGTCGACCTCATGAGTTCAGCGCTACGTCCGTGTCACTCCTTTGTCCGGTCCTCGTTTTTTCGCGCTGTTTTTAATTCCGAAGTATGTACCAACTCGGCCCAAGCCTCAACTTTAGTAAAATATTGCCCTCAGAGACTGTTTGAGCCCCATTTATTTCTGCGTTACTACGTCAAAATTTTGTGTAGGTAAAGACGTTTCATTTCTCTTGTACAGCTAGCAGAATGGTTGTTTTTTGCAATCAAATCCAGGTTACCATTAGAGGCTATGAAGCTGCGCACATGTGTACATGGGAATCGTTTAATTAATACACCGTTCTTCACAAGTCCGTGGCCACGGCTGTCCGTCAAGGCTTGCTCACACACCCTGAGCATGTATTAGACACGAAGGTTGCGTCAACGCTCTGCGACAACTCGGATCCCATCTTGAGCATCGTGTCGAAGCAATGGCGACCGCCGATGTTGCTTGATGAACTTTTAAAAAGGGTGTTTATGTAACACAATATGTCAAAATACAAAAAAAAAACTGAATGAAGGAAAAAATCTTACTCCTTTGTACGGCTTCCATCGATCCAGCTCCACAATTTTCCTCCACACCACGAAGAAAGCGATACGAGCCGGGAAAACTAGCAAACACTCCCCATCGTCGGTCATCAATGCTGCCACATTTCTTAGGGCAGCTCTGAGGTCCTCCGCCCAGTTCAGGGCGAAGAAAGAGTAGACGCGCTCAAACTTGCCGTACTTCTTGAGGAGCCCCGAGACGTCGCTTTCAATGTCGTGTACCTCGTACGCGATCTGCGGGTGTGCGAAGTTCTCCTTGGCATACTTCACCATTCTCGGGGACACGTCAATGGCCACTATCACGCCGCAGGGTTGGCAGCGTGGCAGCAGCTCCTGGCGCGTGAAGTCGCCTGTCCCGCAGCCCAGGTCGATGAACTGCTGACTACAGTTCGGTCCACTGCCGAAGGCCATTTGCGGTAAATCGAGACTTTTGATGCTGAGGTCTCTCTGCCATTTGTGAGCTTTGATGTAGGCCTCAGGAACAATAGGGGTTCCAAGAGGCTGCTTGCCGACAGCGTCACCGGCGGATGAAACAGTGGCCCGTTTTGCCACCGAAATTTCACGAACTGCATAGAATGAAGAGGTTTTAGTTATTTATCTAATAAAACATTCAAACTGATTGGTGCGAATCGGACGTATATGTCAGTCTAAATGGCAACTAGAGCTGTTGTAAAATGTATTTATTTAACAATAAAAATAATCGTCTCAATTCAATCACTCTTACAAGTACGAAAGGTGAGACACCTTCAGGTGAATCAAGCTTTGACATGTTCTACTTGGTGAAAAGGGAAACGAAAAACGGCAAGCGCATGTATTATTCACGCGTGAGAATAATTCATGCGCGCAGCAAACAATTCCGCATGAAAATATTTTTGCAACAAATTTATGTGTCCTCGAGAATTGCTCATTACAATGTGCATCTAAAATATTTTAGCGTGCATGGCCGGAAAGTTACTCCATACTTCTAAAAGGTTCGCGTTTGCTCGAGACACCGATCGTAATAGATAAGGAGGCCAACGTGAGCTTGCCGAGTCAGTCTCCCGAGTATAGACCATTCCACCTTGCGCTCTCTGGGCGGCACCATTTTTTTCGACAGCAGCGCCCTCTCCATACACCCGGGAAATTCAGCGGGTTCGGCGGGGTAAAACGAGAGAGAGGGCACGCGCCCGACTCCGCTAGCAGACGACAAACCGGGAGGTTGCCATTCTCCATCTTTGGGCTGTACTGGCGGGCTGTACGGAACATCGAAATCTCGCTCGTGGCTGCCGTTGTGAAGTGGTTCGCGTTCTTAGATTAGGTATGGCTACTCCAAAATCAGCCTTTAGCTCTCTGTTGTTCTATTTCGGTAAATGATCAACTAGCATATCTTTTTTCCGTTACCTAAATAGCAGTTGAGTCAGCCGGCAGTTTTACCCTCAACTACTGCGTGTATTGCGGCAGGAGAGCACATTTTTATTTATTAATTCAGACTTCCACTCATGGTCGCTGAAGGCCTACACCAGTACGAACTTTGTATAGTAAAAAAGGTACAGCAACCGGATTTACTTTTTGCCGGAAAGACCTCCAATCTGACACAGTTTCCCCTATTTTTTCATTTATTTGCACGCAGGTAGCAGCGCAATTGGACTCTGTTAGTCATTTTATCTAGCATAGTATTACACGATAACTAGCATACCAAAATCTGCGCATCTGCGCTTGAAATTTCCAAAATGACACGATTTTAAACTGTTTGTACGCCAGCCGGATGCTAGGTACTGCCCACTCGGCGGAACAGACGAAATACGCGTGAGAGGGGGAGGGTATTTTTTTGCTCTTTTTACCTTCTCTGCTATTACCCTAATGGATGCTCGAACAGTCTAGGGAGAACGTTTGAGACACCGGGTCTAGTTCGAGACATTAAGTCTAGAGATAAATATACATCGGCGTGTGGTCGTGTTTGTAAGTGTGGGGACTCCACATCACTGGATAAATTGCTCACTTAACGCATGAACTAATGCAGCCGTATTCCAATTTCCGGCCGACCTCACGGTGCCAAAAAATTCTCTCTCATAAAAAAAAACATCCTGTAAACAATGTTTTTTTTTTTTTTTTGTTTTGTTTTGTTTCGTTAGCTCAAATGGCCTATGTGGCTGAGTCTAGATTCTTGGGTCGTCTTTTCTTTTACTTCAAAGTAATTAGACTGGTTCATGTCAGCAGGCAAAGCCGCTACATGTTGTCGTTTGGAACTTCGTGAGGGTGCAGATAAGGGTTCGCATTGAATTCGTTCTACCCATACAAAAATGTCCTGTGGTCGACTATAGAAAATTCTTTGTATGGTCGGCTTCAGCTATTTGGCCCAATTCGCTAAAGAATTTTCTATGTCTGCTTTTGGCATTTTTTATAGTCGCTATTTAGGGCCTTTTTAGCTTTGTCTATGGCCCTATCACTGTCCAGCCATAGCGCTCTTTAGCTGGTCTAATGGTTGGATAAAGACTTCTCTGTGGCTTACCCTTTGGCTCTCTTTAGCCAGCAAGCTCTAAAAAAAGTTTGCTTCAAATTCCTCCACTTGTGAACGCTACATGGTAGATATACATACAGCTTTGAACACACAGAACACAGGCAGAACACTACCCCACACAACAACATCAACGCAGCGACATCGGAAAGTTAGACTGCCATATATGCAGCTAATGCGAAGATATGCCGTGTTCGCCATATGGCAGCCTAATTTTTGAATCCGACTTTGGCGGTGACCCATCATTTGTCGCAAAAACAGGGAGAGGCGGAGTACATATTACTCGTACTTAATACATCATTTGAATTGTCTCTTGAAATATCCCCCATCTCTTAATTCAACACCCTGAAACAAAGCAAATATAGATAATTAGGCTAATTAACTAAGAATTATTAATTAACTTTTTAATAAGTTTGATGAATCACGTTGACAATGCAGTGATGGCATGCAGTACACTGGTGCTGAAGATTGCAATCAAGCTATTTCTTGATTGCAGTGTTCGGCGCCAGTGTAATTTATTTTCACTTTTGGGGGTAATCATTAATTTTAATTGTTTCACAAGTATTTTAATGGATTTTTCAAACAAACAATATTACTGGGTTTCGCGACCTGTTGCAGCAGCAGAGAACATATCTTGGGTTATGGTTTGTCATCGGCATTACAGAAATGTAGTATTGATTTAATTTTCTAACGCGGAGTGTTTTTACTAAAAAAGAGAGCACCGGTAGTGATATTCTGTAGGCGTGGAAAGAAAATTTGTTGGTCCTAATTCTTTATAATCGAGGTCATAAATTTTTCTATAGAGGGGTAAAGACAATTTATTGGTTTCTAGTTTTTAAACTCGGGTCCAAAGTATTTTCTATATGCGGTACAGAACATTTATAGGGTTGTGGCCATAGACTTTTCTATAGGCGGGTAAAGAAAATTTATTGGTTCGCAGTCTTTAGACACAGGGCCATAGATTCTTCTATAGCTTGCTGTAGCTGTCTTTATGGATTTCTATGGCCAACCATAGAGGGCCATAGGGGGTGATAGCCTGTTATACACTCTCAACAAAAGGATTGCCGTAGGGTACGACCTTTGGGGTAGTAAGAAGCCGTCACAGATATCGCTACCCCCCCTTCGTTATACTAGCAACCCCAAGGGCAGGCACACGGCACGCAATCAACAGGTAATCACAGTGAGCACCCCCAAAAGAAGCATGCCGGCTGGCAAGCGACAGGGGAGCGATACGAGTAAGGCCTAGCGAGCTGGACTGCTTTTTTTCTAAAATACGATTCTCAAGTGCGTGCGCCCATTCGCTGTCTTCCGTGCGCACTAAAGCACTCCAAAACGCGCCTCGAAGCACCGGCACCGCACTTAGTGGGGGATTCGCGGGTTTGTCCGAGACTGCTTTCGCGCAGCCGGCTGCATTTGCTTCGCGGCCAGAAAACATTCAAAGAAGGAATCGTACAGCGACAAATGGAATGATGTCTTTATTGAACAAAGCATCTGCTTGCTGTGCTGGCCGTAAGTGATTCGGCGTTTTCGGTTGGCAGCGCCGATGTGAAGCATCACCGATTCAAGCGGCGTCGGTTCCGATCGTTCAACGCTCCTGCTCACCTGTTCGCATTCGGTATCTACTTTCAAGTCCCTGGTAATCCTCACCGCGTCTGTGCACGCACTTGGAGCTGTACACCGCACGGAACACCCGTTCAACTTGCTATGGGACGGATCAGGTGTTAAACTGATCCTACTGGGACGAGAGAGAAACCGAGAGCCGAACCCAAGCCTCCGCAGGCTGCTCCGTGGAGCCATGGAATGCCTCCATGTTTTTCACCCAAATAAATAGACATATAAACGCACGACTCCTTGAATTGGGCGGCGACAAGCGCCACCTGACGGATGTTTTTGACCTAAAAAATAGACATAAAAACGCGCGACTCCTTGAATTGGGCGGCGACAAGCGCCACCTAACGAACAACGCTCAAACTATTAAAAAAGAAAAAAAACTAGCTAGCAATCATTGTGAGCGCCCGCCAGACATACACCTATTTCACACCACACTTCACACATTCGCGACATGGAGGTAACATACGCATTGTGTACATGAGCGCGTGTACAAACAGCATAAGGTATAACACAAGACACTAACACTTTCCATACCTATACACATTCCTATACACACGGAAAGTCGTCACCACCAGCTTATATACTGCTGTATCTTTTGTAACCGATTAGGCTGGTGACCACTGTCATATTTTGCATAAATACAAAAAGGCTGTGCAAGATTTACCCGTATATAATATTTTCCCCTACCGCCCATAGGAAAGCGCTCTTATCTCTAATCTAATCCACTGCAAAAGTGAACTGCAGGTTATAAATAAATTTGAATAGTCGCTACACGTCACGTTTTCGTCGGTTTCGTTTTCTCGCTAGCCTACGCTTCAAGTATACAGAAGCCTGTTTAATGAGTTGCATTAATTATCGAAACTAATTTCTGCAATTCAAACTTTCTGAACATGCTGACGCATTTTCTTTTCTCTTTTTACATATCCGGATGACTTCAGCGGTGGTTGAGTACACGCAAAGTGCGCAAAGTAACGTTCAGTACACTGAGCACGCGGAAGTGATTCTGGCGAAGCGCGTCCACCGGTCCCCCCGAAGCATTGTTTGTTTTCTTCTTTTCACTACAATTGTTTCTGCTCAAGCGCGTTTCTTTCAAATGTATGTTCTATGCGCGAGCGCTCGCGCCAAGAGGACAGTGCAGAATTGCGCTTTCGGGCCCGTGCCTTCACCTATACTCTGTTTCATAGTTGGAGTGCAACGCTGTCAAAGCTAGTGGCGCGAGCATGGGGCTTGATCTCTTTGACCATTTGCACGCGTTCTCGCGCGAACAAAACCAGAGCTGAAGCCACGCGCTCGCGCCAGTAGTTTTGACAGCGTTGTACGCTAAGTATGAAACAGAGTATACGTATGCTAAACTATAAGCATCAAAGCACGCCGAAATCATATTTCTCTGTGCCGCACCTGCTGGCGTCTGCAGCAGTACTTTTTCTAGAGCAAAAACTCTAAAACAAATAGCACTTGTAT